AAATACTGAAGTTGTCAAGGATTTCATTTTACTTGGATCCACAATCAATCCGCATGGAAGCAAAGGTCAAGAAATCAAACGACGTATTGCACTGGGCAAATCTTCTGCAAAAGATCTCTTTAAAGTGTTAAAAAGCAAAGACATCACTTTGAGGACTAAGGTGCACCTCACCCAAGCCATGGTATTCTCAACCACCTCATATGCATGCAAAAGCTGGACAATGAATAAAGAAGACTGAAGAATTATGATAATGGCCAAGAATATTGAATATACCATGAACTGCCAGAAGAACGAACAATTCTGTCTTAGAAGAAGTACAGCCAGAATGCTCCTTAGAAATGAGGATGGTGAGACTTTGTCTCACTTACTTTGGACATATTATCAGGAGGGACCAGTTTGTGGAGAAAAACATCATGCTTGGTAAAATAGAGGATCAGTGAAAAAGAAGAAGACCCTCAACGAGATGGATTGATACAGTAGCTGCAACAATGGGCTCAAACATAGCAATGATTGTGAGGATGGCACAGGACCAGGCAGTGTTTCCTTCTGTTGTATGCAGAGTTGCTATGAGTTGGAACCAACTCAACGGCACCTAACAACCTAACAACAGCATCAGTCCTGGAGAGACGTATTTAGGGATCATTGGCATATAGATTATATTTAAAGGCCCAAGAGTTTAGATCAGTTAGGGAAAGTATATAAAAAAAAGAAGAGAGCCAAGGAAACAGCGCATGGGAATTCTCAGAAGAGGAGGAATTAGCAAAAGAGAGTGAGGGGTAGCCAGGGGATGTAGCAGACAAATCCGAAGACTACGTTATCGTGAAGGTCAAAAGAAGCAAGTTTTTCAAGAAAGGAGTAGTCAAATGTGTGGAATGCTGAGGAGACACTGAGTATTATGAGGACAATGAAATGAACATTAGATTTGGCAACATGAAAATAATGGGTGACCTTGACAAGAACAGTTTCAAAGGACTAACAGAGACAAAAGTCAGGACAGAATGTGTTGAACAGTTACTGGGACTTCCAATTAAGCATGGAAGTTTAAACACATGCAGTATGTCCATTCCCTCCTGACACCCACTAAAGTAAAAGTAGCGAAATAAAAAAGAAATGATCCTACAAGAACAAAGAGAATAGCATGAAGGTGACAGAGACCAGAGAAGTCAATAAATTATTGTAAGAGGTAAGAGGCTGGATAAATGGTAATTAACTTAGCAAAGCAGATAAAGCTGAAACCAAAGTGCCTGCAAAAGTGGGTGTGCCAGTAAGAAGCAAGCTGGCTCCAGCCACTGAACTCCAAGAAGGCTTATGAATTTGAGGTAGGATGAGAAATCGGGCTGAAAACAGGAGGACTGGGTGAAAGTCTGGAGGCTTTAGTTGAAGTTGATAGTATTGAACCCTTTCAGAACCGCCCCCCCCAACCAATGCTGACCATACTCCACGGCGTGGGCCCCTGAGGTGTTCTAGTTCTTAAATAAAGGGGTGTGTGTGTGTGTGTTGGGAGGAGTTTCATCTTGGGTTGCCCTCCCAAGCACTGACTACCTGAAGGGATGGGCCAGAGAGCCGCCTTCCACCTCCGTGCCTTTGCAAATGCTGTTCCCTCTGCTTGAAATTACCATCTTCCTGCCTCCTCCCACCCGCTAAAATGCCATTGCACTGTGAAGGTAATGTCAAGAACCTCACCTCAGGCAGAGTTGGATACTCCCTCCTTGAGCTCCCACCTCTTTATGTTGTTCAGTTCCTATTAAAACACCAGCCACCTGACAAGCCATCTGCTTTCTTGTCATCCTCACCCGTTCCACACTCTAGGCCTTGAATGTCCTGTCAGTGCCCAACACAGAGCCTGGTACTAGAAAGCCTCATTTAATGTTTTTTGTGAAAGAAGGAACAAAGTTGCTAAAGATGAAAGCAGCAGAGACAACTCAGGCCAGTGCCACGGAAGGCCAAGCTATTGTGATTCCAGGCCACCAATTTTCCAAGGCCTCCCAGTAACCTCAATCAATTCACAAAATGCTGGACCCCAGAGAGATCCCTTCTTGCCTCCCCAAGTTGCCCTTTCTAACAGCAGTTATCCTCTGGAGCCAACAGTGGAGGAAACCTGAGAATTGATACTCCTTCTCCTTGTAAGGGAAACATAGTGGTTAAGAGTTCGCCTGTTAACCAAAAGATCGGCTGTTTGAATCCACCAGGTGCTCCTTGGAAACTCTATGGGGCAGTTCTATTCTGTCCTATAGGGTCGCTATGAGTTGACTCAGTGGCAACAGGTTTGGTTTTGGTTGGCCTCCTGATAAGAAGCCAGAGAAGATGAGAGCCTGGGTTTCCCAGGCCCCCTAATTAATCCCCAGGGATGGGGAAGGAGCTCTCATATACTGTTCTCCCTGGGGAAGGGGCAGCGGGCATCTCTCCACCTCTCTTGATGAAAAGGGCCCTCACATGTCCCAGCTGTGGAGGTATCAGCAGGAAACCCAGCACCAAGGCTGGGTCACAGAGCTCCTTCTCCCCCTGCACTCTGCTTCTTGCTCTTTCTGCCTCTGTCCCATGTCAACATTTCTGCCCATCTCTGCCAAATGTCCCTTTCTCTAAACCTGACGTTGTCCCATCCGTATCTCCATCTCTGTCTGCCCTGTGGTATTACAGGGATTCCCTCCTTGACCCTCACCCCACCAGTGCCCTTGCTGCTCTGTTAGTAAACATGACAGTGTTCTGGAGTACAGCGACAAGCAGTGTCCCAGGGCCCTTGAGGACATGGCAGCAGAGGCTGGCTATAACTCCTAGCTTCCAGCCAGGCCTGGGGCAGATCCCACTAGTGAACTGCTGATTCAATTCCAGCCCACGGACATTATAAAGGCCCACACTGAGCCTGGTCCTGCACTAGGCCCAGGAGGGTTATCTGTGAAGAACGCACAAAACAGCTCAGCCCCTAATGGGAGGCAAGCCCAAGAACCATAATTACAGTCTGTTGTCTGCACAGAGAAGATGCCTAGTGAATGGGGAGGGGCAAAGGGAGGGAGGGAAGAGAGCAGAGAAAAAATCAGAGTGGCCAGCCCTCCTATGGCCATACTATCCCAGCAGCAGGACCCTGAAGGCTGGCTCGTGATGGGAATTTTAACTTGACACGTTAGCAAGAAGGGTTGCCTGGGCAACCAGGGCTGTTATCCAAGCTTAGCTATTCATGAGCCAAACTGCCATTCCCCTCACTCAGTTCACTAACAGCGGGCCCAGGAGAGCCCCTCAACTGACCAAGGTGAGAAGGTCAGGAGCTGTCCAATATTACCATCTCTGATTTCAACAGAAACCCCTAAGAGCAAAACCAAAAAGACTGTGTGTTTGTGACAAGGAGGAGGAGAAGGGAATACAGAAAGCAAGGATTCAAGGGTGCAGAATGAGAAAGACAAGTGGGGTCCAGGAAGGAGAAGTTAAGAAGCAAAGTGCAGAGTTGGCTGTGGATATCTGTGAAATGCAGTCTGAGTGAAAAGTGTGCAGGTGTAACCATCTTGCACACGCAGAACCAGGTCCTATTCCAGCCCTCCCGCAGGGGTGCTGTGTACCTGGCCTGCGTGTTCTGGATACCAGGGAAGTGATGCAATGGACCCTTGGTCCACTGTTGAATTAGCTCCTCATAATGGTACCTAGAGGGGCCCTAACCTGGGACTTTATTCAGGTAGTCAACCCACACATACCTTTTCTTTAGACCTGAAGTACACAGAATTCAATTACTAATAATCCTTGGTTCCTAACACACTTCTATCATTGGTCCATTTATGACCTACTTTTATTACTTTATTTATGCCATGCCTAATGATTTCTAAAGACTTATTTGAAAGTCAAATTCAAATGACTGGAAGTCAAATAATATATTTGTATATTACAGATGGGAGTTGTCATCAGAAAGATAAAATGTATTAGCTCCTTCAGGGGCTGAGGGAATTTCTAAGTTCAATCCAAAACACACAGAAACTGAAAAAAGATCAAGACTATGGCTTCTTTAACTATATTGAAACCCAGAAATCCATGGGCCATCCCTATCCAGAAGCCCCCCTGCCTCCTGCTTAACATGCTTCTCTAGAACAGGAGTCAACAAACTATGGCCCGCTGGCCAAGGCCTGCTTACCACCTGTTCTGTAAGGCATGTAAGCTAAAAATGGTTTTCACATTTTTATATTTTACATTTTAAATGATAGAAAAAAAATCAAAAGAATGCTATTTTGTGAAACATGAAAATTATATGAATTCAAATTTTAGTGTCCATAAATAAAGTTCTATTGGAACATTGCCACATTCATTCACTTACATATCATCTGTAGCTCCTTTCATGCTACAACAGCAGAGTTAAGTAGTTGGAGACCATACGACCCAAAAGCCTAAAATACTTACTATCTAGCCCTTCACAGAAAAGTTTGCTGACCCCTGATCTAGACCAAAGCCTAGAAAGTCTGACAGCGCTCACATTTCTCTCGCTCACCCACTCTCCCTTTCTCTTTCTCTCCCTCTCTTCTTCCTCCCTGGGACAAAGAAATGGGCCTGCCTTTAGTGCCGCTACATCAGATCCTCCCCTTTTCTGACTCCAGCCTCATGAATAAGCCTTAGGGACAGGTAAGGATGCCTTGCCTAAGCCAGAGCTTCCAAGTGGGAGCGTCCCCAATGGGGCAGAGGTGTGCAGCAAAATGCCCTCGGACCTCAGGTGAGAGGGCAGCTAGAGTGCTTGGGCTGTTCACCTCTAGGGAAACGCACTCTAGCCTTGTGCTCTGGAAAAAGAGAAAATGGGTTGGTGAGCGTTCAGTCTCCACCAGAGACAGAAAGGCTTTATTTGATGGTAGTGTTGATCCTCTGAGTCCACCAGTCCTGGAATCTGCTCTACCTCTGATTTCCAGTTACGAGAGCCAATACATTTCCTGATTGTTTAGGCCAACTTTAGCTTCTTTTCCTATTCATTACAGCCGAAAGCATTCTAACTGACCTGTGTGCTAATCTTCTTTTTGCTCCTCCTTTCCTCCGGCCAGAATTGGTGTCATGGCCACTTTGTAGGGCTCCCACAGACGGCAAGCACAATGATCAACAACAGACACCACCCTTCCTCCAAGACGTGAGGGAGGCCGCCACCTGGACATGTCCTTTGACAACCAGCTGCAGAGTGTGCTGCTGCCCATTGTGGACAAGAGGTCAGGGGAGCTGCTGGAGGAATTGGTGTTCCAGGTGCCAGGAAGCAGGGATCACTGGGCCGGGGCAGTGGCAAGAACATCAGAAGGGAGCTCCTGGTGGGTGCAACATCAGATGGCAGTTCTAAATCTCTTTCTTCACATGACCATATTTGTTATTGTCCGAATCGGTACACTTTCTTTCCTTCTTTTTAAATCAGCTTTATTGAGGTATAATTTACATACAATAAAATGCACTCATTTCAGCACAGTACTATGAGTTTTGACAAACGTATGTGCAAGTGATCCACCAGTGTAACTACTACCACAAGCAAGATAGAAAACCTTGCTGTTACTCCCAAAAGTTCCCATGTGCCGCTTTGCAGTTACCCTCTCCCGCTCTCCCTCCCAGGCAACTACTCATCTGCTTTCAGTCACTACAAATTAGTTTTGCCTGGTCTAGCATTTCAAACAAATGGAATCATGCAGCATGTACTTTTTTGCGTCTGGCTTCTTTCATTTGGGATAATGTTTTTGAGATTTATCCATGTTGTATGTAGCAACACTAAACTGGTACACTCTTTTTTTTTTTTTGAGTGACAGGAGGTGCTATGAATAGTCAAGTTAGGTCAGAGCCCAGAGGCATAAATCAGAACACTTCAGGACAAATCAAGACAATGGAAACTCTATGTATACTGTCTGTTTTTATCATTTGCAACAGCTGAGCTCTTTTAGTCACATCCAAGCTGGCTGCAGAGTGATTGTTCTAAAATTGTATGCATATCCTGCGAATTAGAGCCTTGTCTTATTTTGAAACATTTGAATTGAAAAAGTTTGATGGAGCCAATGCCTCATCACAAGAAATTTCAACGCTGAGCTGCTGCGTGTCAATGAAAGAAAAGAAAAGGCTATTATATTCTTTTTTTTTGGCTTCAACAAACAGAAATTTATTTTCTCACAGCTCAGGAGGCTAGAAATCTGAATTCAGGGTGCCTGCTCTAGGGGAAGGCTTTCTGTCTCATCTGCTCTGGAGGAAGGTCCTTCTCTCTTTGAGCTTCTTCTGCTCTTGGGCAATCTTCCTGTGGCTTATTATCTCTCTTCCCCTATCTCTGCCTCTCTTGCTTGCTTGTTTAATCTCTTTTATATCTCAAAAGAGACCAAATGCACCCTAATCCTGCCTCATTAACATAACAAAGACAACCCATTCACAAATGGGATTATAACCACTAGCAGAGGTTAGGATTTACAACACATATTTTTGGGGGATACAATTCAATCCATAACAGGGCTAATATCAAAACATTTCAAAGTTTTGCTTTTCACATTTAGATCTTTAATCAACTGGAATTATTTCTTTTGTGTAGAGTAAGGTATTATAATGATTTTTAAAACTTGTTTTCATATTTAGTAAATTGTTCCAGCACTACTTATTTTTATTGTGCTTTAGGTGAAAGTTTACAGAGCAGATCATTTTCTCATCCAACAATTTATACACAAATTATTTTGTGGCATTGTTTGCAATCCTCGTGATGTGTCAACACTCTCCCCTTCTCAACCCTGGGTTCCCCATTTCCATTTGCCCTGTTTTCCTATCCCTTCCTGCCTTCTCAGCTTTGCTTTTTGGGCAGGTGTTGCGCATTTGGTCTCATTTATGTGAATGAGCTAAGACGCAAGTTCCTCATTTGTGTTATTATTTGTTGTATAAACCTGTGTAATCTTTGGTTGAAGGGTGACCTTCTGGAGTGACTTCAGTTCTGAGCTACAAGGATGTCTGGGGGCCATAGTCTTGTGGTTTCTCCAGGCTCTGTCAGACCAGTAAGTCTGGTGTTTTTTTGTGAATTTGAATTTTGTTCTACATTTGTCTCTCACTCTGTCTGGGACTTTCTATTGTGATCTCTGTCAGGGCTGTAGGTGGAGGAGGTGGGAACCATCTAGTTCTTCTGGGATCAGGCCAGTGGACGCTTCGATACTTGTGGCCCATTAGTTCTTGGACTAACATTTCCCATGTGTCTTTGGTTTTCTTCATTCTCCTTTGCTCTGGACAGAATGGGACCAGTAAATGCACTTAGATGGCTGCTTGCAAGCTTTTAAGACCCCGGAAACTACTCACCAAAGTCAGATGCAGAATATTTTCTTTATGAACTATGTTATGTCAATTGACCTAGATGTCCCCCAAGACTATGGTCCCCAGCCCTCAGCCCAGTAACTCGATTCCTCAAGGTGTTTCAATGTGTCTATGAAATTTCTATGATTTTTGCCTTGGTCATGTTGTGCTGACTTCCCCTGTAATGTGTACTGTCTTTCCCTTCACCAAAGTTACCACTTATCTACTATCTAGTTAGTGATTTCCCCTCCTCACCCTTCGCCTCCCTTGTGCCCATTGAAGATTGTTTCTTTCTGTGTGTAAACCTTTTCTTAAGTTTTTATGATAGTGGTCTCATACATTATTTGCCCTTTTGTGATTGACTTATTTCACTCAACACAATGCCCTCCAGATTCATCCATGTTGTGAGATGTTTTACAGATTCATCATTGTTCTTTATTGTTGCATAGTATTCCATCGTGTGTACATATCATAGTTTGTTTATCCATTCATCTGTTGATGGGCACCTAGGTTGTTTCCATCTTTTTGCTATTGTGAGTAATGCTGCAATGAACATGGGTGTGCATATGTCTATTTGTGTGATGGCTCTTATTTCTTTAGGGTATATTCCTAAGAGTGGGATTGCTGGATCATATGGTATTTCTATTTCTAGCTTTTCAAGGAAGGGCCATATGATTTTCCATAGTTGTTGTATCATTTTACATTCCTACCAGTGGTGCATAAGAGTTTCAATCTTCCCACAACCTCTCCAACATTTGTTTTTTTTTTTTTTTGATTACTGCCAGTAATGTCAGGGTGAGATTGTATCTCATTTTAATTTTGATTTGCATTTCTCTAATGGCTAATGATCATGAGCATTTCCTCATGTGTCTGTTAGCTGCCTGAATGTCTTCTTTGGTGAAGTGTCTGTTTGTATCCTTTGCCCATTTTTTAATTGGATTATTTGTCTTTTTATTGTTACGATGTTGCAGTAACCTTATAGATTTTAGAGATTAGACCCTTGCTGGATATGTTATGACAAAAAATTTTTCCCAGTCTGTAGGTTCACTGTTCACTCTTTTAGTGAAATCTTTTGAAGAGCATAAATGTTTACTTTTTACGAACTCCTACTTATCTAGTTTATCTTGTGGTATTTGTGCATTGTTAGTTATGGTTTGTATCCTATTTATGCCATATATTAGGGCCCCTAGCGTTGTCCCTATTTTTTCTTCCATGATCTTTGTAAGTTTTATATTTAGGTTTATGATCCATTTTGAATTATTTTTTGTGTGTAGCTTGAGGTATGGGTCCTGCTTCATTTTTTTCATAGATGGACATCCAGCATCATTTATTAAAGAGACTGTCTTTTCCCCATTTAGTGGATTTTGGGCCTCTATCAAAGATCAACTGAACATAGGTGGATGGATTTACTTCTGGGTTCTCAATTCCGTTCCACTGGTCTATGTGTCTGTCATTGTACCAGTACCAGGCTGTTTTGACTGCTGTGGCTGTATAGTAGGTTCTTAGATCAGGTATGTAAGGCCTCCTACTTTGTTCTTCTTCAGTAAGGCTTTACTTATCTGGGGCTTCTTTGTTTTCCATATAAAGTTAAAGAATGCTATTAGTATTTGGATTGGGATTGTATTATATCTGTAGATGGCTTTGGGTAGGATTGACGTTTTTACAATGTTAAGTCTTCCCATCCTTGAGCATGGCATGTTTTTCCATTTATGTAGGTCCCTTTTGGTTTCTGGCAGTAGCGTCTTGTAGTTTTCTTTCTATAGGTTTTTTACATTCCTGGTTAGATTTATTCCTAAGTATTTTATTTTATTAGGTGCTTTTATAAACAGTATTGTTTTCTTGATTTCCTACTTGTAGTTTTTTGTTGGTGTATAGGAATCCAACTGATTTTTGTATGCTGATCTTGTATCCTGGTACCCTACTGGATCTTTCTATTAGTTCCAGTTCCAGTAGTTTTCTTGTGGAGTCTTTAGGGTTCTCGATGTATAGTGTCATATTGTCTGCAAATAGGGATCGTTTTACTTCTCCCTTACCAATTTGACTGTCCTTTATTTCTTTTCCTTGCTTTAGTGCTCTAGCTAGGACTTCCAACACAATGTAAAATAAGATTGGTAATAAAGGGCATCCTTGTCTTGTTCCTGTTCTCAGGAGGAAATGCTTTCAGCCTCTCTCCGTTGAGAGTGATGCTGCCTGTTTGTTTTGTACAGATGTGTCGTGGATTGAATTATGTCCCCCAAAAACTGTGTGTATCAATTTGGCCAGGCCATGATTCCTGGTACTGTGTGATTTTCCTGTATGTTGTAAACCTGTCTCTATGATGTTAATGAGGGAGGATGGGTGGCAGTTGTGTTAGTAAGGCAGGACCTGATCTACAAGACTGGATTGTGTCCTGAGGCAATCTCTTGAGATATAAAAGACAGAAGTGAGCAGTGAAACAGGGGG